GAACCCCTAAGTTTTTGCCCCCCCCCCCCCCCCCACCATGGGATAATAAACTAGGGCTAGTTCTATGATTTAGGAAATGGGTTCTAAGTAAATCTTGAGCCAGATTGATTGAAAACTTTAGGAATAACAGTTGAAATATGATGCTGGTTTTTCTTGATTTTGATTTGTCTTTGACTGTACTTTGACTGCTTTCCCAGTTTGTCAGAGATTTCTGGGTTTTGAGCTCCTTATATGAAGTGTTCCAAGTTAACCCTAAGACTAGATGCCCTCTGTCTTTGCTTGAGGAGAGAGAAAGAGGCAGACGCTGTGTCAAATGGGAAGAATAGTAGAGGAATCCATAGGCATGAAACAGGACTTGTTTAGCTAGATATATGATGAACAAACTGAATTAATAGCTTGAAGATGAATACTAGTGTTTGACTTGGTTTTGAATGTATTTATATATCTAAATTTGTAGAGTTTTTTTTCCTTTTTTGCCTTATTTCAGATTATTTTTGTGATTGTGGGAGAGAATTTATTTCAGCTTTTCAATTTGCATATTTGTTCTCTAATGTGATGAATGATACATGTTAGATGGTCTGTTTATGCTTATTAGGTTCCCTTCTCGCCTGCTAAAGCTGCGGAGTAGATGAGGATCTATATATATTTGTTTCTTACTAGTTATAATGAGTATTTAAGCAAAATAGGTTTAAGAAACTTGCTTGATATTAAAGCTTTTCAACTGTGGTGGCAAAAGTTCTGTGATGAATCATGATACTCGGTTTTCCAGATTCATGAAGGTATCTCGTTTTCGAGATCTTATATGATATGATATGATACGATACGGTATTTTGTAGAAAAGTACAGGTAGAGTAGTATAATGTTTTCCCTTGGACATGCCATTGCCAACAAACTATGTTTCTCGGCCGTGTCTTCTTGAACAAGGCCTCTTCTTTGCCGATAGCTAATCTCTATTGCTTATGGTGTGTTGGGTTTGTTTTCTTGTTGGGGTGGGTTCTATCAATCGTCTGCCAAGCAAAATGAAAACTTTTGGTGTGTCTTTTTTCTATTCCAAACAAAATTTGATCTTTTTTTTTTTAAATTCCGGTAATGCCTGCAGAGAGTTCCAGATAAGTTTGTGAGTAAATTCAAGGATGAGCTTTCGGTTGCTGTTGCTCTCACTGTGCCTGATGGTCATGTTTGGCGTGTAGGACTAAGGAAAGCTGACAACAAAATTTGGTTTCAAGATGGTTGGCTCGAGTTTGTTGAGCGTTACTCCATTCGGATTGGTTACCTTTTGATTTTCAGATACGAAGGGAACTCGGCCTTCAGCGTTTACATTTTCAATTTACCATCTCACTTCGAGATTAATCACCATTCTTCTGGTGGCGCTCTTATCAACATGGATTCGCATAACCATTTCAAACATGCCCGTTTGTTTGAAGACCTCGAAGATGAAGATGCTGAGGTCATGTATCCATCTTCTGTCTACCCGATGCTTGATTCTGTGCCCGCGAATAAAGGGTATGGCGGGTCAACGATACAAAGCCTGTTCAGTGGAACTAGAGGTGATAACATCATCTGAAAGAATCAATTTCTCTACTGGTGGGCGTTTTGGTTTTCTGTTATATGGGTTCGTTTTTTTGGTTTGGGAAAGTCTATATCCACTCGGTATTTATGTTAGATTCGTTTCGGTTTGGGTTTTAATGAAAAAATGCTCATTTTTCAAAGAAATTTTCAATTTTTTTCGGTTATTTTTATATTCAGCGATGTTTATATCAGATTCGATTAAGGGTACTGTTCCACGTTATTCAGTTTGGGTCAGTTTACGCGTAACCGGAACGAATGCCTGAAGTCTTTCTAAATCAATAATTGATATTTTGATTTTTTCCAGCTGAAGAGACGCCGAAAGTTCTGAAAAAGAGAGGGAGGAAGAAGAAGAACCCTGATCCCGGTAAGAGTTATTACATAATTCCAGGCTTTATCTTACTATGTTTGCTCAGAAGAGCCGAAGATAGGATTCATCATTGCTCATGATATGTATGATTCCAGAGGAAATAAACTCGGCTGCTCCCCACGAAGATGACTCGGAGAACCGTTCAAAGTTTTACGAAAGCGCTTCGGCAAGAAAGAGAACAGTCACTGCGGAAGAAAGAGAGAGGGCTGTCAATGCAGCCAAAACGTTTGAGCCGGCAGACCCTTTCTTTAGGGTCGTTTTGCGACCATCGTACCTCTACCGAGGCTGTATCATGGTAAGACCCAACTCATATATTTTCATGGTGTGTTCAGACAAGCAAATCCGAGATTAGGGCATAAGGTCTTTTCGTTGTTTATTTTTACCCTTACCCTTCAACGTTACCTGCAGAGGACACCCCTATTGTTATTGTCTCCTCTAGGTCTGGTGAAAACTAGAAATCCGAATTTCGGTACTCGATCCAATCGCTACTATCTCATATAGTGTTTGGGTATCTGAATTTTGGGTTATAGCGTGAGGAAAACCCAAAATTTGGATAGTTGGGAGATGTTACATGGGTACCCGAATGAACAGGAAAATCACATTTTTGCCTCTATGTTTCAGAGATGTTAGGTACTTAAAGCTCTTGAAATTTTGAGTCTGGACTAGGGTAACCCGAAAATTTCGGGTATCGAATGATTCGAACCTGACCCAAGTCAACTCATGATTTATTTTGAAATAAATAAATAAACTCGGATTGGAATACCTTTGGATACTCGGGTACCCAACCAAACGGATGTCAGATTGGATAATATCCCGTGAGACTCGGGTTCGGATTTGGGTAACCCGAAAATTCCATGTGTCCACTCCTAGTCTCTTCTCTCTCTGCTCAAGAAACACTAAATATTGCACCTTTTTTCTGATATTTTGACAGTACTTGCCTTCTGGGTTTGCTGAGAAGTACCTAAGCGGGATATCAGGGTTCATCAAACTCCAGCTTGCGGAAAAGCAATGGCCGGTGCGTTGCCTCTACAAAGCTGGAAGAGCCAAGTTCAGCCAGGGCTGGTACGAGTTCACGTTGGAGAACAATCTAGGCGAAGGGGATGTCTGCATCTTCGAGCTGCTCAGAACCCGGGATTTCGTTCTCAAAGTCACAGCCTTTCGGGTCAATGAGTACGCTTGACCAACCCAGTGGGGGCGGGTATGGGCAATCCGGTGCGGGGTCTCGGTGAAGATTTCGTTTAGGGTTTTGTAATTCGAAAGGGTTTTAACTGGCTGTTGCATCTTCGGGTGAACTATGGGTGTCCTTCCTCGGTGTTTTTTTCAAGTAAAATTTCTGGTGCATGTGGATAGGCGTTGAACGTTCGGCGTGGAACTCGTTTGAGTAGAATTCTTTAGGATTGGATCTAGCTTTTGTAAATACCTGATTCTCCATCAATTTGGTGTTTGGACTTTGTGACCAGGAAGAAGAAGATGGGTTTGTGTTGTGATGTTCTCGTTGTTTCCTCCCTCTTTCACCGATCGGTTTTGGACAGTAAAAGTGGCTGTCTTAAATCTTGTCCGGTTTATTGGATGTGGTTCTTTCGCTTTTAGAAAATTTATTTCCATTCGGATTTTATATTAGATTCAATTCAGTTCTGAAAATGTTCATAATAATGACATCTTTCCGAATAACCCTTTAACATTCGGTTCTAGTTTAGTACAATTTTTATAAATCTGAAAATACTATTTCTAGATCGAACCGCTAGACCCCTAATTCAAGTACTTAAATATCTACGAATATCTGAAAGCTATATAGATTTAAAATAGGATTCCGAAGTCTAAAATCCAAATCCAAATTGGAATCACGTATTTTATACTCTCGGATAGTTGACCAGTGCTCTGCTCGATATATTTTAAATTCTGGATTTATTTTAAAAAAAAAGAAATTAAATATGGTTAGACTAATTGAGTTGACTACGGCCCAATTCGAGTCACATTTTATTAGGCCCGTCACCAGACTAGGGAAACAAAGAATTAGGGTTTTAGAATCACCGATACGACGAGAAAGTACGAAAAAGCACGTCGGAGGAGGTGGACGACGACCAACGGCAGAGACACGGAGCGAGATACAAGAAGAATAAGAAGACTGCAACAATGTTTCCGGGAATGTTCATGCGAAAACCCGACAAAGCAGTTGCTCTGAAGCAGCTTCGGACCCATGTTGCCTTGTTCGCCGGTTGGGTCGTTGTCGTCCGTGCTGCTCCATACGTCCTCGCCTACCTTTCCGATTCCAAGGAAGAGCTCAAGATCGAGCTCTGAGACTCGATTCTATAATTTTTCAGGTATTGAGCATGATTCCTGATTCTTTCAATTGCTCATCTCTGTCTTGCTTGATCGGAAAGCAGATACTAGATGCGTTAGGGTTTCTGTGCATTCTACACTGGAGTGATTTTTCAGTTCACATGTCGGTGGATTTTCTGATTGATATCTCGTTATTTTATTACGATTGGCTTGCTTTATCAATCTCTGTTTCAATTAATGGGTAAGTAGGAACTCAAGAGTTGGAATATGGTATGTTTCCACCTGTTTCAGAGGTAAAGACTTGAAGTTCCATGTCTTTTAGGGTTTTCATTTTCTTCCATTCCAAAATTGGGTGCATGCGTGTTAGTTCTTGCTAGGCTCAGCCGCTCAGAGCTGTTTGTGATGTATTTATGAAGGCCAAAGGGTTATATGCTTGAGAGTTTATGCTTCAAACCTATGTCTCTTACAGGAAAATGATTTCAAGGAATAAGTTTCATAAACTCAATTTGCCTTTACATTTCGCGGGTAGCTCACATTCCGATAATTAGGAAAGATATCTGGCTTTTGGTTGCTGTGTATGAGAATTGGCTTTTCGTATGCTTTGTATAGCTTGAAGTTGTGATATTTGCAGATGGAAGTTTAATACAGCCTGTCCTCGGACAGCTTACTTGCTTCTATCGCATTTCCGTGAGATCTTATGGTCCTACAGAACATTTACTTTCGCATTTTTACCTTGAGTTATGTGGGTTGATCTTTTTTTTTACCGTCTTCCTGAATTAACTTGTATATTCTCGGTGCTTCAAGCGCGGCTTTCCAAAGCTAGAAAAAGTAGGAAGGAAGTGTGGAATGTCAATCTGCTCGTCGAAACACATATGACACAAGATGTTTCTATTGTCTATTGTATATGTAATCCTTCCACCTAAGGTTTTATGCCCTTTTCATTTCCCGACATTTATAAGTTGCTAAGCTATGTTTTCTTTGGTAAAACAGTGGTGAAGCGGAGAAATTAAATCCAGTGCTGGCTTTTGAAGATCCTCTGTATTCTTTTTTGCAATGTCGTAGTGCCTGAATAGTCACTTTGAGACAAGGTGATGCATTTGCATTTGTTTCTGAACTAAGAGTTTATAAATATTGCTGTCTTGCAGCCACATAATCAATTTGGAATGTGATTTTGATGTGTTGAAATAATATGATGAGAGCTTTCTGATATATCCTATTGTTTTTCTTCTCAAAAGGGTTGTGTGAATAATCACGCAATGGAGAAGGTCATGAAAATTGTTTTTCGAAGTCTTGGGGTAAGATTCTGGATAATGTTGAATTTGTAGGGTGTGGTTTGGTTATCTCCCAAAATTGTGGGTGCTAAACGGTAGTTTCCTGTTCCTCGTACACTGTCGGCAAAGGATCACTGGGTGAAGTTGATAGTAGGGCTGAGCACAAATACCCGTATCTGTTGAATGCTCGTATCGCGAATACCGGATTTTAGGGTACAAGTATTATTCCAATCCAAATCCAAATCCAAATCCGGATTTTTCAATACCCGTGAATCCAAATCCGAATAATAAAATTTTTAAAATTGGATATCCGTAGATACCCAACTATTATGATTATAAATAATTATATCTTATATCTATATAATATTTTTTATAAAATGAAATTATTTTAGGTTTAATAATTTCATATTTTTTAATATTATCTAAAAAACTAAATTTATTATTATTTATTTTTTATTATCTCATATTTTTATTATAATTCATCTATTTTTATAAATATATCTTCATTTTTTGAAAATTTTATATATAAATATTGTTGTTCTTTCTTAAATAAATCTCGATCTGAATACTCGCGAATACCAAAAAAATTATTCTAGATATCCATGTTCTGGATACTTGTAAATACCAAATTCCGGATACAGATCTTATAATTAAATATCCGAGTCATCCGGATCTAAATCTAAATGTCCTGATTTTTCTTGATACTGACTTGTGTCCACCCCTAGTTGATAGGATGGTAAGGCCTTTAAAAAATGTGAGGGTTTTCCAGTTTGTTTATCAAAACATTTGGGGTGTACACGGATCAAATATCTCGTGTATTTTGTTTCGAATCCAAATAATTTCAATTTTAGGATTCAGAATCTGATCCTAAACCTATAAGATGCCCCGAATGTTCACATTCGATCTCGTCTTGTTTCGTCGCTGTATGAATACAAAAAAAATTGAGTATTTTTGCCTCCCTGTCGGACCAAAAACTTGGTTTAATGATATGATTCTGGTTCAGTAATTACAGAGACCATTTAATTAAAAAAAAACAAAAGAAATCCTTACAATACACCGCACGGTACATGTACAACTCAGATTCGATCAGGCGATTTCTTGTGGAAGAAGCAAACCAAATCCATAGTCATGAGGGACCCATTCGATGGAGAATTTCCAGGATTTGCTGTTCCGGCACTCCCGGAGCTTATCTCTTGCATCGCAAGGCAGAGAATTCTCTATCATTTCGACGATTCCGAAGTGACACAAATCAGAGTCCTTTCCGTACGACTCGACGAGCTTTGGAAGAAGAATCTTCTTGTCCTTGGTGAAACCGATGTTTGATATTATGTATTCCTCTTTAGCGGCCTCTAACACTTTCTTCACGTTGTTGGGTTTGTACATACGAACCTAAAAGAATCGTGTTAAGGAACGTAAAGTTAAGAGACAAAAATGGGTGAGGGAGGTTTACTTACTGATGGATCAGAAATGTTTCCGGAGCAAAGCGCGAAATGCAGGAGAGGTTCCGGCCGATTTATTGCGTAATTTTTTCTCCAATCTCCGGATTTACCCTTTGGTTTCATAGGAAACAAGAACCGGAACCGCTGCCAAAGCACACAACGTTTTGAGCTTCCATGGATTTAGTATCTACTTCTTCAAAGGGAAATGCGGACTAGGGGTGTGCATGGGATCCCGATTCGATAATTGAATATTTAAAATTTCGGGTACTCGTGACGTGTACGAGTCCAGTGACGATCCGACCTTCAGATCCGAATTCGGGTTTGGTCGGAGATTACCCTTGTCTTGCTGTACCCTCAGCCGGGGCGAGATGAGATGAGGTCATGAGGGAGCAAAGCCACGAGGAGACGAGAACCGAGGCGAGGATTATGGTGAGAAATAGGAGGCCGAGAGATTAGAAATGGGTTTATTAGGGGACATCTCAGCCTCATCGCCTTACTTTACAATCACCTCCGCAGCATCGCCGCTTGTTCCTGGCTCCTCGGCCTCGGGTAGGGCTCTCGCTCTTCTGCCCTCTCTCTCTCTCTTTCCTCATTTTGCCCCCTTGCTGTGGTCTCGCCCTCTCGTCGTTGCTCGGCCCCGTACTTGCCCTCACCTACCGTATACTCGTCCTCAACGCATTCCGTGAATACCCAAAGTTCGAATAACCGATCTCACAAGACTGAAACCGGATAATCCGGCCAAAAAACTTCGAGGCGGCAAGATAACCGAGGTCTGGTACACCCAAAAACTCGAATACCCGGTCCATACTCTCTCAAAGTAAGGGAACTGAACCTTAAACCTAATGTTTAGTGAGCAAGACATGCAAGGGTAATGTATTTACCTGTCCTGGACGAGACACGCGGCAACCTAGGATCGAAGTCTGAATTGTATCAAGGTTGAGACTTCGGCCTCCAACGTTGTACGCTGCCTGCATTCGAAAGAAACCTTAGTTGTTATTACTGATGACGTGATCTACAAGTAACTAACACATGCAGGATATGATTCTCTTTCGCAACCATCAACCTTCAGCATTAGGGATACTCTTTTCATGTTGCTTCTCGGAGTTCCATGGAAAATAACTGCCTGCGAGAGATACAAAAAGTTACGATTTAGAGATTTATCTATTGATCAAACTACGTTAATATATATATATATATATATATTAATGCAAGGATTATGAAAATCTTACGTGCATAACCAAGGAATTGTGTATGTTAATCCAGAAAGCGAGCTTCTCTTCATGATTCAGTTTCCCTATATTCACTCTTTCCAACTGGTGAACGAGTGACCTGAAATTTACGACGGAAATCCGGAGTGAGAATAATACTGATCCTTTAGTTTATGAACCGATAGAACCGGCTACCTATTTCACCTATAATGCTTCAGAAGGGGTTCGATTTCTGCTAACTTCTCGGTGTCTTTACGTATCGATTTCGCGACCCATAAGTTATCGTAAGGGCGACCGAGGTTCGTAACTTCTCTCCCGCGAAAAGGGTCGTAAGAGAATTCTTGCTTATTGGTCGGATTTAGATCGGCGAGTCGATAGATCAAGGACGAGATGGAATCAATCATCTCCTCCGATAGATGATTCGGCGTTTTGGAAACGTTTCCCTGTTCTTCCTGTATCGCCGCATCGATATCGGCTTGCTGAAAAGGGAAAATGTCGAAATCAGTGAGAGAGTTCAGGTAAGTTTTCTTTTTCTTTCCCGAAGAAAACGTAGTTCTTTACCTCGAGCATCGAGAACGGGAGGGACTGGTGGTAGAATTCCTCGGCTTTGGGAGACATTCTAAAAGAACGATGAGACAACGACGAGTGACTACGAAAGATCCCCGAATCTTTTAGAACATCTTGCGGATTGCACACAGAGTTTTCCGGCGATCCGGCGAGTTCCGACCCGAGAAAATTTGAGTTTTCTTCTTCGGATTCGGGCGGTTGTCGACAGTTCGGTCGAAGATTCTCCGGTACAAGGAGAGGAGATATCTCTCCGAATACATCACTTGCAGCTCCAAAACTGTTATTTCTCTCACTAATTCGTTAGCATCCTTAATCTGAAAACAGCGAACAACGTCCTTAAAACCTCGTAAGATACACCAGCTCGAGACTTTCTTGTATACCAAGGCAACCGGATTGAATGAATAGAGAGTTTTTGGAGTTTTTAAAATTCAAAAATCTAAAAAATTGACAATTAAGATTTTGTAAATTTAGCTTTTTTAAAATTTGAAAAAATATTTATTAGAAAAGATTTGGGGATGTCAATTTAGGCCTGAAACTCGTTCCGAGTCCATCAGAAAAATGTTGGAATTCGGACCTAAATTTTTCTATCTCGAAAAAAAATCGAGTTTTCGGTCTGGACTCAAATCGTATTTTGGAACGGTCTGAAAGCCTGATAATTTTCTTAAAAAAATTAAAAAAAAAAGTGTACAAAGGAATTGAACGGGTCTCCCGAACCGGTCCGAGTGCAATGCCTATAGGGCCGGATTTCGGCTTGGTTATATAGATATGAAAAAAATCGGTTGTCCGAACTCAAAACTCTGAAACCAAATGGGAGCTTGTACCAATCCGACTGCCTAGAAAAAATCAACTAAAAATCAATACCTTCATTTTTTTTATTTACAAATATTACGAAAACATGAAACCAAAATCTAAAACATAAAATCCAAAAACAGCTTAAAACCAACAACTCAAAATAAAAATTATCATCAAGTTACCTTCGAGATTGAATCTACGTTTCTAGAATCTTCTGAGAATAGTAATTTGTGTCGAAGCATCTTCTCCATCTCTCTTCGTACCAACGCCTCTTCTCCTCGGAGCTGCTGAGCCAAAAACCAAAAAAAGAAAAAACCGACATCTTGGAAACCATTTTCTGGGACAAAACACTTAAATGAAGAGCTCGAGGAAATTTTTTTACCTCGTCACTTGGAACCTTCGGAAACTGCATCTTCTTCGGTTTCACCAAACATTTCAGCTGTCCGATTTCTCTCTGCATAGAACGTGGCATTTATGAACACTCTTGGCTCCAATTCGTGGAATAGAGGAACAAGAATCTCGTACAGCTGAACAACAATCGCTAAAGATTCATACCAACTGGAAATTATCAGATTCATTTGAAGATTTCCCAAGAACCGGATCACTGAAAACATACAAAAAACAGAAACAGGGGATTAAAACTCAAGGAAATTGTTAGAAATAAACAATTACTTGACTCTATAATAAGGGGCTTTCGGGTTTCTGTAAAATCAAATCCTAAAAACCCGAAATTTTCTGTCCGTGAAAACAAGAAACGGTGAAGAAGGACGAGAGATTCAAGAACGGTAATGAGGCTCGTAAGCTGAGATAAGGATAAGGAAGAAAACAGAATGTACCTTCTTGAGCGTCTATGCATGGAAGAACATCTCGTCGCCATGAGCTGTCGGAGAATTCGTCAAGTTTTTTGGAAAATATTTTGTGGGAAGTTGTCGACAGTTTCACATCAAGAAATCAGGTCTTTGTGATTACCCAGGCATCTGAAAATACACTGATACGAAGCATTAAATACATCAAATAATGACAAAATAATACTCAAGAGATCAGAAGATGAAAAAAAAGTTTAAAGAATAGAGGAAAATTCCAGAGAACAAACACATTCAACTAGGAATGAAGGGGACTACTCAACAAGAAGAACAGTGATTTTCACAAGTGATATTTCTGGTTTGGGTTTGGTTTTGTTTATATTATTATAGGGTTCCGGATTTTTTTTTTGGGTTTTTTAAGTACATTATAATTATTCGTTTTGATTGATTGTTCAATTTAGGTTTTTACTAAAAACAAGTGTTTTTTTTAGGAGAAATCGTCAAAAAAAAACCCGGAAAAATCTTATACTTTTTTTTATTATCAATTAAACCCTATCTTGGTATGGTTAACCCATAAAATCTCAAACTTTTTAAACATTCCACAAAAACTTCTTGCGTCTATCAATTCAAACAAAAATGACGATGTAATAATGACATGACTTCCAAGTCATCCACACGTCATCATAATGTCGCATCATTATTTCAAACAAAATTTAAATTAAATATATACATACAAATTTAGATACACCCATATATATATATATTAAATATAAAATTACTTATAACTAATAATATATATATACATATCTACAATATATATTATAAATTATGTTATAAATAATATATATATACATATTATTTTTAATAGATATTAT